AGAGCAATGAAAACTTTCAAATTCACTCTGTGAGGCCAGCACCACCCTGATAAAAATACCATAAAAAAGAGAAGACTATAGGTCAATAAGTCTGATGAACATAGATGCAAAAATCCTCAACAAAACACTAGCAATCTGAATCCAACAATACTTTTAAAAAATCATTCACCACAATCAAGTGGGATTTACCCTGGGATGCAAGGGTGGTTCCATGTTCACAAGTCAATCAGCATGATATATCATATCAACAAAAGAAAGGATAAAAACCATATGATCATTTCAACAGATGCAGAAAAAAAAAACTGTTTCACAAAGTATAATATACATTATTAAAAAAAATAGGTTTAGAGAGAACATACCTCAACATAATAAAGGCCATATATGAAAAACCCACAGTTACTATCATTCCTCTATGGTGGAAAAAAGGGTTTTTCCCCAAGATCAGGAACAAGATAAAGATGTCCCTCTCACCACATTTATTCAACATAGTATTGCAAGTCCTAGCCACAGCAATCAGACAACAAAGAAATAAAAGACATCCAAAGTAGTATCAAAAAAAAAAAAAGTAGTAAGGAAGAAGTAAAACTTTTACTATTTGCAGATGACACAATATTATATGTAGAAAAAAAACAGTTTTTCACCAAAACACTAGAACTGATTGACAAATTCAGTAAAGTTGCAGGATACAAAAATCAATATGCAGAAATCTGTTGCATTTCTATACACTAAAAATTAAGTAGCAGAAAGAGAAATTAAGAAAGCAATCCCATTTACTATTGCACCAAAAAGAATTAAAGACCTAGTAATAAACTTAATCAAGGAGGGCAGCCCCGGTAGCTTAGTGGTTTAGCGCTGCCTTCACCCCGGGGAGTGATCCTGGGGACCTGGGATCAAGTCCCACGTCAGGCTCCCTGCGTGGAGTCTGCTTCTCTCTGCCTGTCTCTCTCGCTGTTTCTGTCTCTAATGGATAAATAAAATTTTTAATAAAAAAATAAAAATAAAAAAGCTTAACCAAGGAGGCAAAAGACCTGTATTTCAAAAGTTAAAAAACATTGATAAAAGAAATTGAAGATAACACACAAAAAATGGAGATATTCCATACTCATGGACTGAGAAAACACTTTTGCTAAGATGTCCATACTACCAAAAGCAATATGCAGATTTAATGCAATCCCTATCAAAATACCAACAGCATTTTTCACAGAGCTAGGACAAGCAATCCAAATATTTGTATGGAACCATGAAAGACCCCAAATATCCATAGCAATCTTGTAAAAGAAGAACAAAAGTGGAGGTATCCCAATTCCAGATTTCAAGTTATATTGCAAACCTGTAGTAATTAAAATAGTATGGTACTCGCACAAAAATAAACACACAGATCCATGGAACAGATAGAGAGCATAGAAATAAGCCCATGATTATATGGTCAGTTAATCTTTGACAAAGGAAACAAGAATATGCAATGGGGGAAAAAGCCTCTTCAACAAATGGTGCTGGGAAAAATGAACAACTACATGCAAAAGAATGAAACTAGACCACTTTCTCACACAAGACACAAAAATAAACTCAGAATGGATTAAAGAATTAATGGTGGAACTCAAACCACAAAAATCCTAGAAGAGAATACAGGCAGTAAGGTCTCTGGCATTAGCCATAGCAACGTTTGTCTAGGTATGTCTTCCAAGGCAAGGAAAACAAAAGCAAAAAAAAAAAAAAAAAAAAAAAAAGAAGAAGAAGAAGAAGAAGAAAAATAAAAACGGGACTACATCAAAATAAAAAGCTTTTGCAAAGCAAAGGAAACCATCAACAAAACTAAAAGACAACTTACTGAGTGGGAGAAGACATTTGCAAATGATAAATCCAGTAAGGGGTTAGTAAACGAAATATATAACGAACTTCTACAACTCAACACCAAAAAAATAAATAATCCAACCAAAATATGCGCAGACAACATGAATAGATATTTCTGCAAACACACAGTTGGCCCACAGACACATGAAAAGATGCTCAACATCACACATCATCAGAGAAATACAAATCAAAACCACACTTCACACCTGTCAGAATGGCTAAAATAAAAAACACAAGAAACAACACGTGTTTGAGAGGATGTAGAGAGAAAAGAAACCTTGTGTACTATTGATGGGACTGCACGCTAGTGCAGCCACTGTGGAAAACTGTGGCGGCCCCTCAAAAAAATAAGAAATAGAATTACCATATGACCCAGTAATTCCACTACTGGATATTTACCCAAAGAATATGAAAACACTAATTTGAAAAAACATATGTACCCTTAAGTTTATTCAACCACAGATGAATGAAAAAAAGAAGAGCTGGTGTGTGGTGTGGATGGATGGATAGATGGATAGATAGATAATTACTCAGCCATAAAAAAGAATGACATCTTGCCATTTGCAAGGACATAGGACATGGATGATCTAGGGGATATAATGCTAAGTGAAATAGGTCCATCAGAGAAAGACAAATACTATATGATTTAATTCATGTGGAGTTCAAGAAACAAAACAAATGAAAAAAAGAGAGAAAAAAAAATGACTCAACTACAAAAAACAAAGTGGTGGTTACCAGAGGGAAGGTGAGTAGGGGGATGGGTAGGATAGATAAAAGGGATTAAGAGTATTCTTATTGTGATGAATTATTGTGTATATTGCATATCTGAAACTAATATAACACTGTGTTAACCATACTGGAATTTTAAACGTAATACAAAAGAAAAACATTTTAATTTAAAACCTAAATCAATAAATACACAATAAAACTAGAAACAAGCCAAATAACTATTAGTATGCCAAAAGATAAATAAATTGTGGTATATTCATATACAGTAATACTATATAGCTATCACACATACGTGTGCACGTTCGCACACACCACTGGCGAAGGAAGCCAGATCCAAAGGAGGGTGTACTGTATGATCCCACTTACACAGAATTTAAGAACAAATGAAACTAACCAATGGTATTCAGAGTCAGGATAGTGATTATCCTGGGGTGAGAACGATAAGGAGGCACAAAGGGAATTTTGGGGTCTGACTGTGTTGTCTTGATCTGACTGCAGGTCACGTTGCTGTGTTCACACTGTGATACTTCACTGATCATTTGTGATCTTTTTCTTTTTTAAACTTTTTCAATAAAGTTTAGCATAAAATGCACATGTAAATGTAAAGACTTTAAGTAGAAATGCAAAGTTACTTCACTGTGACCTGAGATATGGGTGAGAGAGGGTCTGGAGCAGCAAGTCAGAAGAGGAAGCAGAATGTGGAAGGTCCAGCTGTCCAGGGAAGGAGATGTGCACTCACTGGCTGCTAATGGGGCATGTGCCACAAGGGCCATAGCACAGGTGACCCTCTAGGGCAGGAGTTTCCAAATACAGGGGCCCTGGGTTACAGGGTTATAGGGGAGCCTGAATACATGGGACCTCTGCTCATACCCCTGAGGCCCATTAGAACGATATGTTTATAATCTTTCTCTATTGGGCCTCCCTTAAGGTTCCATAAAGGGAACTGAGAAGGGTAGCCAGATAAATTATGGAAATCTCTTGGATAGAGGTGGGAGAAATGTTTCTAACATGGAAAAGGACCACCAGGATCCTAATCAGCAGCCTAAAAAACTAACCAACAGCTATGCATTCCAAGGAGATCTCAAAGAGACAAGCAGCGCCCCCGTCCCCAGTCTTGGGGAGCTTCTGCTACCCAGAGTTGGTTTGGAATATCATCCAAGATGGCAGACTAAGAAAACCTTCTCTTCCTTCCTTATTGTATAAGTCATCGTGGAGAAAAGAGAGAAATCAACCACATTGAGATCAGCAACTATTTACACTTTTTGTGGAGCTAAGAGCAAGGCGAGCTATCATTTTAGAGTCTGTGGACTCAGGTGGGCCAGCAGCTCATGTATGGACTCATGGGCTTTAGCTCACTTGACTTACAGACAGGCTGTTTCTAGAAAAGAGAGCTGCATCTATATCTGCAAATAGCTATTTGTCACCTTCCTTTGAAAGACTTGGTCACCTCAGACAACTTTCCACCTCAGCCACCCTTTATCATCTGGGTCTCTCACAAATTAACCAACAATAAACAAGTATTCTTTGCTTTGCCTTTGTTTTATTTATTCATCTCCCCTATGAATTGTATTTATCAGACAGACTTCCTAACTAGTCCAGGCTAGCAGGACACAACTGGAAGAGAAGCAGGTGATGTAGAAAGAGGGCGCCACCAAGGGACAAACTTCTGAAACTCCAGTCTCATCTCCAGGTCCCCACCTCCACCAGGTCAATATCCCACAGATTTTAGAAAAGAATTCATCTGGAAATATCTACAACCACTTAAAACATATGTAATCTCAGCACATTCCACTTACTCTTTTGCACTGATGTAGATAGAGCAGAAAAATAATCTCAAACAGTGCACATGTGGATTTCTAGACTCTGACGTGCCCTGGGAGGTCAATCTTCCCAAATCCTATCTGATTTAAACTGATAATGAACTCTTCTTCATTCCCTGAGTAAATGTGAGGCTCAGGAGCAGTTCAGACAAAAGGAGGAAACGGGCTGCAATTGGTGTCTGGCAATTGGCAAACAACACAAATAAACAGAAGCTCGCCTATTTGTATTTGTTTACTCCTGTACTTCACTCGCACACTCTAACATAATAAAGGGAAGGCTCACAACTTTAATATCTGATAAAAACAGCTTGCAGTATTTATTAACAAACTATAGAATACTTTTATTTTCACCTAATAACCATGTTCAGACTCTTATAAATCATTAACTACCAGTAGACGTGGCACACACACCCATGCATATACATGCACACACACAACAGAAAATGTAAGATTTAAATGTACTTGTCCTTCATAGAGCATTATTCTGGAAATAAGAAGGCCCCCAAAGCCCAGGATTCTGTCTAAAGCACAGAACTCTATTTTCAAGGAGCCCACATTCCTACCCACCACAGTAAGTGAACTGAAATGAATGGCACTTACCAGGGATTTTCGGTGATTGGCTCTAAGAATAAATGGCTTAATCAGAAGCATCCATGGGACAGAAATCAAAGCCATAACAACAAAGAAACTTTGGACTTCTTGCTGTAAAATCAAAATGGTATGATTCCAACATTTCAAGGTGATCACACAACATAACTTATAGGATTTAAAAAATGATAAATATGGATCATTTTTATTGTACTTTATTTTGAGAGACCTAAAGCATTTCAAAGTATCCATTCACCTCTACATCTTGGGAGTATTCCCACTGTAGTCCAGTGGTACCCAATGTCAATCCAGGATGGGCACTGAAAAATAGCTTATTCCTTACTCTTTGAGTACTCCCTTGCTATCCCCACACACCATATGTGAATAAGAAGTACTCATGAGGCACATAATAAGGGCAACTTTATTTATCCCTTGTCTCATGAGAGTAGTTAACCCCTGGCCCTGCAAGAAAAGTGTGGCAGGCCCCATGACTTCACTGGTCATTCTGTAGTAGCCAAAAGCCCTTGGGTCACTTTAAGTCATAAAGATGATCTCAATTAGAAATTTTATATTTCCAGTACTAGATAATTATTTGAGCTCTCTTGCTCTCAGTCTTTCAGAAATTTAAAAAAAAAAAAAAAAAAAAAGGCTTCCTCACACTCTGGCTGTGGGTGAGTCACCCACCGGGCTCTGGGGTAGCCATGGTGAACTCTCCCTGGCTGTCTCCCTCATATCTCCCCTCTGGTATGCTTTATGCCTCTCCTGAAACCCAGAATTCATCCCACCTTATCATCCTGCTACACATTCCCTTTCACATCCTCACCTCTTATTATATACCCCCGAGTCACCAACTTTGAGGAGTGACCCAGAGCTGCTGTTGTCAAAGAACCAGGAAGCCCGGTGAGGCTTAGTTGGAGCTACAAGAAAGGCATGGACACTGGGTGCTTGGGGGGGTGAGGGGGGATGTTTCTTAAGCTCTCACTTTTCTTCAACTGTTCTGGCCAAGCTCTCAGTGAATTCCAGGGGACAATTTTTATGCCAGTTGTAACAAGATTCACCCTGCTATCAGTGGGGACACCCAATCTGTTTAGTCTTCTACCCTCCTCCCCTCTGAAATGCTCAAAAGAGGTAGGGGAGCTGCAGAAACACACACTACACTTGCCAGTTCTAGCTCCCTCTGCATGAAGCCCCCTCATCACCCTGTGTCCATCTTTATATAAGGCTTTTCCAGCTCACAATGTACACAGCAACCAGAGATTTATATTGATCTGTTGCTCTTCTTCTTTGATATTCAAAGATGGCCAGGGCAGTGTTGGAAGGGGCTGGGTTATCAACTTACATCATCTCTTCCAGCTGCATGACCCCAAAATGAGGTTATGGAAATTTCAAACCATGTCAGGATAATTCATCTCCATACTAGGGCATGGGGAAACCAGCCAACTCCTAATAAGGGTTTTGAAGGGGGCAGAAAGCTGGAAAAGCCATTCACTGTGCTATGTTCAGTGAGTATTCCAGACCAGGTGAGGACTTCAGTCTCTATGAAAGTAGTTTGTGCGTGAAATATTTCATGAGTCTGAGTCCTTTGCCTAAAAGAGAAGACTTGTTTGGGAAATCCAAGTCAACTTTCATTCAAACTCTGGAACTGAGTAAATGAACCTTCCAAATATGTTCGTGTAGTGTTCACGGTCTAGGAATGGTTCATATACCATTCACTGATGTATAACAAAAAGGTGCTACAACAGTGAAGTGGGCTACCTCCAAAGAACTTTTGGAGGTATATGTCTTCTCTGATTATTATCTAAGATCATTCCTTATCTTTTATTAAAAAAAAAAGTGCACTGCCATAAGGCATGTTCTCTTCTTATTGTTTGCTGCTCCTAAAAAGGAGGAGAACAACTAGAAATCAGACGCATGAGGCCCTGCAAGCATGGCCACAGGAGGAGCAGAACAGGTCTTTAATGAGGACATCCATGGTGAGCAACCTCTGGCAAGTAACATGAGCTGCAGAGGGTCACCTGGCATTGGGGAAAAAAGCTACAAAGGAATCAGAACACATGAATGTGCCCTCCCTTAGTGAAAATCTACTTTCACATAGTATTATCAAGTTAGTACTGGGAGATGCTAGAGGAAAACTATTTGTGTTACCAAATTTACTGAGTTGTTTTTATATCCAGCTCCCATTGAGCATTAATGCTTTTTAAAAATCAAATATTAAGTTGATAATGAGGTTGAATTGCTAAGTTGATGATGAATTGGTTCAGGTAGAAGAAAAGAGAATGGCAATAAAACCCAATGGTTGGGAGGGACTGTTCATGGAAGAAGAACCAAAAGAAAGAAAAGAAAGGGCATCTCTGGCCAGCCATGGAAGCTCACAGGAGAGCATGAGTTCAGATCTCAGTTTCCCAGGAGCCCACCGCCCTTATGAACAGAGGGACTTCTCACCTTGACTCATTCCATTTTCTTTCTTGCACCCTTAGAGCTTATGTTTAGAATAAAAGATTATTAAATATTAAGACTATTTAGACTTAATATGCTATTTAGACTGTTTTCAGTTTCAGGCCTATCAGTTTGAATGACTGGTTTTTTAAAATTTCCCCACAGATGATGTACAAGTCAATTTTCAATGGCACAGAAATAACCCATTTCTCCCAAATGGGAGCAGCTGGAGTTGCACTGCCATACTGCCCTAAGCATCTGTCCACTCATTTTTTTTTTTAAGATTTTATTTATTTATTAATGAGAGACTCAGAGACAGAGGCAGAAGGAGGAGCAGGCTCCCGCCCAATGAGGGACTTGATCTCAGGACCCCCGGACCACAACCTGAGCTGAAGGCAGATGCTCAACCACTGAGTACCCCCCACTCATCTAATAAACACCTCTGAAATGTAAAGAGCCTAACAACCTTGGCTGGGTGCTAAGATGGCTCAGTCTTGCCAATAACTATGCAATACTCAAGAGTATGAGAGAGATGGGACATTATCAAGTGCACAAAAGAAGAAAAAAAAATACCTGATGTTTGTACAGGGGTGCATTTGAAGGGTCATCATAGTTAAATAGAAACATGTTGATGAAGTGGATGAGGATGCTTGGGGCATGCCGGGACACATGGACATCAAAGTGGCACCATTTGAAAATGATCATGAACACCAAGTATCCAAACAGACACAGAATAAAAATCATCTCAGGAATAAACTGCAGAACAATGTTGAGAGTTCTTCTGAAGTATCTGGGGGTGGGAAACACACACATGAAAGACAGAACACTGAGTGAATATCAGGAACTAATTATTCTCCCCAAAGCACAAAATGTTCATTTTTTTTTTGCACGCCCCATCCACTCCCCTAGCAAGCAGCAATTATGCGTGGATGGAAAGAAGAGAAAGGAAGGATTCAAGAGAACCAGGGTCTGGAGGGTAGTGTCTGAAGCAAAGGGCATGTCTGCAGGTGAGCTGGTAGTTTGGCTACAGCTTCACCTGCACATCTAGCTCATATCAACAAATTCAAAGGCACGAAGATATAGAAGCAGGACTAGGAAGCTTTTCTCCTGAGACAGGGGTTGGCAAGCTAAGGCTTACAGGCCAAATTGAGCAATTACCTGTTTTTAAAGAGCACACAAGTTGAAAATAGTTTTATATTTTTAAATGATTGACAAAAAAAATCAAAATAAGAATAAGAGTTTGTGATATGTGAAAATTATATGTGATTCAGATTTCAGTGTTCATTAATAAAGTTTTATTAGAACATAGACCCAACTCATCCATTTACAGATGGTCCATGACAACTTTCCTACTACAACACCAGGACTGAGTAGCTGTAACAGAGACCATCTGGCCTCCAAAGCCTATAATATTTACTCTCTGCCCCTTTACAGAAAAAGTTTGCCAACTCCTGCTCTAAGACACAGAATCCTACAAGGGTAAGATGGGGGCTCCCAAGTTCAAATGTCAGAAAGGGTACCCGCTCTCTTTGCTAATTGCAAGAGTTATCTGAGCAAAAATGGAGATCTCGCAATAAAACTGGATTACTGGGATGGTTGAAGCTGGCCTGAAATACAATGAAACCAACGATAGACTGCTCCAGAAAATATATTCTGGAATTATCTCTCATTTAATATTCATGGCCCCTTCAGGTAGGCAGTAGTACCAGGGCCCCTAGACACTAGTCACCACTAGTTTACTCACTAAATATATCTGATTTTTCAGGTAGGACTGCATTTCTATGAGCTTTCAGGCCAGGGGGCACCACAGGGGTGGCTCTGGCCAATGGGAACAGAAATGGTATGTTGTTACTTCCGGGTGAAAGCTTAAGAGTCAGTGTGTAATTGACCACTTTCCATGTGTTCATACATTTCCACCTTTAGAAAAACAAGTTTAAAAAGTTTTCAGCTTGATATAAGGAAAGGAAAGATAAGACATCAACAGCCCAAGGGAGAGACTGCTACAACTTAGAAGAAATTGCATCAAAGGGAATTGAGAATCTGAGGGCACACTGTCCCAGACGTACTTATATCTCCATTTGTCTGACCCAAATCCTGAATATGGCAGTGACCAAGGACTTTCAGGTTGGGGGAAACAAGGTGCCATGGGCTTTCCAGTCATTTCTGAAACCTCAAATATTTCTGAGGTGAAAGGTACACTCATATTTTGAGTGACCCAGCTCAGGAAAAACAGAGGTGCCACCTATGCGAAACCAGCCTGTCCTGGCTCAAGCCAAGAGACATGGCAAAGCGTTCCTCATAGGAAGGAGGAAGCTCTTGCACAAAGGGACACTTGGCCACACTGGTGGCTCTGTCACTGCTCGTCAACGACAAGGTCAGATCAACAGGCAGAAAAGTTAATCATGAAAACTTACATGTGATTGAAAAGGCTGAGAATGACACCGAAAACCATCTGGACAATTCCCAGGATAACAGACATCTTCATTTTGTAGGAGTTCAAGAACGTTAGTTTGTTTGAAGCCAAGTTCCAGATCTGGATGGGAAATGCGACAAGAAATGCATGAGACCGGAGTCTGGAAGTTCTCCTGGAGTCGGAAGCTATAGCAGGACTTCTCCTAAGGAAGTCAGTGTGGGGAGGACATTTTCATTTAGATTCAGTTGAATCAGTTTTGAACATTTTAGGCTCACAAAAGGAAGAGGACCAAACCCCAAATAAATGCAACTCTAATGATGAATGTGTCAGAACCATTAGTAAAACATCAAGTGGCCAGAAGAAAAAAACATCCCACATGATTTTTCCTCTGTTCTAAGGGAAAAAACATTCTGAAACATTGTAGAGAGCTCTCAAACTTGCCTCAGTTCCATTTACTGGTGGTATAGATCTCTGGCCCATGAATTTATCCAATCCCTTCTTGATGATACCACCTTTTATTGTGAATTTCTACAATGTTTCACATTACAAAGCATTCTCCTGAGTCCATCTCAGGAAGCCACTCTTGTAGCCAGTATTCATTAGCACCATGTATAAGACATGGTCCCTGCCTTCTACATGGTCCGTTTTAAACAGACCTGCCAGGAGTGCAAAGCGAGGGATGCATGTCCCTGCCCTCCTAACAAGACTGACACACAGAGCAAGAAGTCACTGCGGCAGGGGGGCTGGTCAGGGCCCCACCCTAGTTAATGGCCCCAGGTGCTAACATTCTTCTTTCCCACAGAAATCTCAAATATCCCCATTGTCTCCACTCCCGCTCCTACGTAAATAGTTCAAGTCTTTGCTCTTACCTCCAACCCCTCTTCAACTTTAGACACATTCTCAAACTGCCTGCTAGATAGGTCTTAAGGGTTTGCTATACTGCATCTCAAAGGTAGCAAAACCACAAGGGTCATCTCATTTTTCCCTCCTAAAATGTCTTCCTCTTCCAAACTACTTTGCTTCTGTTAAGCCCTCCTAGACACAGACTCAATGCAAAGATACCTTGTTCCCACTCCATGCACACATACAGGCAGGATCCACACCTTACTGATTTTTTCTTTACATTGTCCTGAGCAAGTGCCAGCTAGACAATCACTGGGCTGCTGGGAGGGTGAGCAATGGGTCTCCGGTAACAGGTGCCCAGACACCAGAGGCATCTCCTCTACTTTCCCCATCTGTCTGGCATTTAAGCAGCACCAGGCTTGCCCTCTACCCTCTGCTTTTCCCTTTGCCTCCCTGCTGGGCTAGTCCCTACAGGATCACTCAACATGGTTAGGGCAGGTTTACCAGCACATTACAGATGCAGCCAAATCTGATACATTAAAAATTAAGTGCCAGGTATACATTAAGCTCTTTAAATGTTCTATCTCATTTAATTCTAACAGAACTCCGACATAGATGCAAATATTCCCATTTACAGATAAGGCAATTCTATCTCAATCTCAGAGAGATTAAGTTCTTTACACACAAAGGAAGAAATAATACTATGGCAGCAAATGGGATATTTACTCTATCTATGTACCAGACTGTTCTGGTTGTTTAATGCATAAAATCATTTATTCTCCTGAAAAACCCAATGAGCTATGGCTGTTGTTATAACCATTTTGCAGATGAGGAAACACAGACACATAGCTAGGAAATAGAAAAGGCAAGATTTATACACAGGTTGTCTGACCCCAAACCATAGGCTTTTAACCATTTTGTTATGTTCATTTATTACAAAATATCTGCACACACTTTTAGAAAGACCTCTCAGCTCTGACAGCCAAATATTTTATGACTTGATCCGCAGAAAGATGTTGCACCTATAGATCTGTAGAAATAAATGCATCTGTAGAAATTTACATTATGTAAAAATCCAACCCTTCAAGAATAGAAATAAGTGCTGGGGCACCTGAGTGACTCAGTCCATTGAGCAACCAACTCTTGGTTTCAGCTCAGGTCATGATCCCGGGGTCATGAGATGGAACCCCAGGTCTGGCTGGGCACTCAGCAGTCTGCTTGAGTTTCTCTCCCCCTGCTCCCACACATGCACACACACACTTTCTCTCTCTAAAATAAATAAATAAAACTTTAAAAACATAGGCACAGAAATGTTGTATTAAAGAGGGTATCTCTGGGGAATAGAATTGCCAGAAGAGAGAGAACTCCTTTTTCCCCCCCTTCTTTTTTATGCTATTTTGTATTCTATGGATTTTTAATCTTATGTATACCTTATTTTATAATAAAAAGACCAGAACTTTCCAAACCCGTAAATGCTACCAGGAAAAAAGTTAATTCTTCTCAACTTCCCCCTTCTCTTTCACCCTCACATTTTCCCTTCCTCTCTAACTGGTGGGCAGAAAACAAAACTGCCTGAACCCTGGACACTCCAGCCCGGTCAGTGCCCAGCTGTGACTATACTGTCTGAGGAGCAGAACTAGGCAGGGAGGATCTGCTGCTGCTCAATTAGGTGTGGGCTGCGAAGCGAAGAGAGGACAGCAAAGCTATTCAAAGCAAAGGAAGGTCAACCAGACCCTAGAATCAGGGCCCTCTGTACTCCTCCACCACCCACTTGCTAATCATCAAATTCCTTGGGCCACAGAAAAAAAAGACCTTCAGTCCACAAAAATAACAACTTGCATTTGTTTTCAGCACTTTGCAGTTTACAACTCTGCTTTCAAGGACTTTACCTCTTTTGATAAAGCTTACAATACAAGTGCCTCTGAGTGGCAAGTATAAACAAATGCAGGGTGATGTCTTCTATCTTTGTAAGGGAGGGGAGGCCTCCAGAAAACTGAGGAGACGCCCCATAAGGTAGGAGAGTGCAGTGTTAGGGCCGGTACTGTTTACTCTCATCTGTCAGCAGCCAAAACTGAGGTCTCCCACAAAAAGGGCTTAGAAAAAACATTGACTGACAGACAGCATTTGCCACGTTCTGTTCTAGCCCAATCAAGCTCATTTGGAACACAAGGCTACCACCTCGTGGTGGTTATGTGCTGGGCCATCGTGAGTACATGGCTTTAAGCAAATAGGCACGGGAGCCTTCTCGAAATCCCTTTATATATCTAAAAGGCTAGGCAAGGAAGCCCCTTTTTTTCTCGTGGCTCATATCCAACTGAGACAGATATAACAACCACATAAAAATTAACTCATACTTTTTTTTTTTAACTTGTATCAATTCTAGGCGGTAAAATAAAGCAAAACTATAGGAGCAAATCCATACCTTCCTAGAAAAGGGAGATGTTACTCACTGCAAGAAAATGCCAAAGTAGGCAACTTGACGAAGATGCTAAATAACTCCTCCAATATGCATACTTTCCAGGCAACTAAGGGCCTTTGAAAGAAGCAATCATTAACCACTGGGGGTATAAATTATTGGAGATGTTTGAGCAACTGTATGGAAAATGACCCAGGGGCAAGGTAAAGGGCACAGGTAGGACATTTACTGAGTTCTGGGCAGTGTCACAAAACCTCCAGTATATGTAATTCTATCTCAGCGTCAGTTTGCTGATATGACAGCCTCTGGCACTTTCTTCTCCTCTACCTAGGGATCTCCTCAGCAAGACATTTTACATAATAAATATTTAACTCAGGAAGACATTATTACCGGATCAATCCCAAATGGGTATGGATTTCCAGAGTACACTCCTGGAATGGCTGGGTCCAACTGTAAATATGGATTCGTTTCCATTATGTATGTACTACAGAGGGAGAAAAGAAAAACAGAAACAAAACCAGTGATCAACCAGAGATAGAAAAAAAATATACAATAGTGTCCGTGGTCATGAACTTGTAAGCCTTTCAAAGCCTCACCATTGGTGCAACTCATGCCAAAGCTCATTCGATCATTCCGTGAATGGGTCCCGGATTCCTACTATGTGCCAAGTATCATCCTAGGTATTGAGGCTACAGACTACCATCCGGGCCCTGAGATGCCTCACAATCTGCCTCTCCAAAGGGCTCCTAGCCCAGTAGAGTATTGTAAAGAAAAACACTTATACCACATCAGAAAAGAATTCGGGCCAGAGACGAAGGAGCATCACAGGAAACAAATCTCAGCCCAAGGACAAGCCTGGGAAACCCCTCCTGGGAGCACATGGGCTTGTCAGGGAGGAATGAACTGGCTTTCACCCAGGGACCCTAATCTCTGTGAAACCTCCCTCTCAAAAGTTGTGGTCCATTGAATGCCTTTAAATCAGCATCCCAACTTTGCCCAGAAGCATGAACATCAGTGGGTAGGAATTTCGTACTATCTCTGTAAGCCCTAAGGGGATAAGAACATAAAGGGTGTTTGTTGGTTTGTTTAGCAGAGCACACAGCTATAGAGGGGCCAAGCACTAGCAACTTTGGCTGGCTACCTAGAAATATACTCCCTACCTCCTAACAACTGAAGCGCTCGAGGGTATCAGGTAGCCGCAGGGGAATCAGGAAGCCTGACCTGCTGAGCAGGCCCTCAAGATGCAGTAGAAACAGCTGGCCCTGCCTGGCCATCTCAGACATGGACCCCGCCCCACCTTGCACTCATGGCATGCCTCAGGACAAATGGTTGCGCTGTATTAGCAGAGATTTGTTTGTGTGTGGACAAAGAAGAAAGCCACCCTTGATGAGAAGGAATTGGCAGCCACACGAAGTCATGGTATCTGCTGTTGTTGAACGTAAACAAGTTCCCAGAACACCAACACCAGACAAAGCCACCCTGTGACTGTGGGGCATCCAGACAAAAGCAAGACCAATCCACAGTTGTATCTGAAATCAAAATATGGACACATTACAACAAGGACAATGCCTGAACCACAAAAATGACCAGACTTTGACCTCATCCTCTCAGAAGCCGGACCCTGTAAGCCTTTTCTCACGCCCTCTGGCTGAGATGCTCAAGCTCCCCACTGGTCCACCTCCTCCCTGCATCAGTAAACTCAGTTTGGGGGGGACGACAGACATGCTCCTGGTGGTCTTGGGCTGAAGGGCATTGTGACAGTGTCCCTAGTCAATTGTCAGGGAAAGCAAGCCCAAGACCTGACTTGTGTCTGGTGACCAAAATCTGCTTGCTGTGTCCTCTGCCTCTGATGGATGACTGCAATTTTCTTTTGCCTCATCGTTAATGAGGTCCCACTTCATACAATCAGTGCCTGGGCACGTGGCTGAGTGTCCCTCAGATGAGACTTGGCCTCCAAGAGCTGTGAATTGGGGTGGAGGTAATTCATATGTGCATAAAAGATTCACAGAGCTCACATTCACAGAGTGGCAAAAAGCCAGTTGACTCAGACCTTTTCACTCCTGGGTGAGATTTCAGGTTGGTGGTTTGGTGAAATTATGCTGATTTAACCAGTTTCAAATCCATCGTTATGCTTCTGAGTTTAAATCTAAAGAGCAAAAGTAAGTAATTTGCCTTTAAATGTATGAAAGCTTTGTTCTCCTAGGCATCTCTTCAGGGTACTAATTATAAAGCAAAAAACAAAACCAAAAGAACTTGTAATACAGCCATCTGTAATTCTGGACAATGTTTTACTCTTCATTTTTATTCATTTATTTATTTACTGTTTAACATTCCTATCCTCTGCTATAAGGAACCAGGACCCAGCTGAGAAACTAAAGGGGATGCATTGACCCTCCATGACACAGCCACCCACACTCTTACCAGGTGTCCAAGGTATGTTTTGTGGGTGTATAGAGAGCTCTCAGGTCTCTCTCATAAGCAGCCATGTCCTCACCAACTGCCCTACCCTACCCATGCCACCCTCCCCACTGCATCACCTACAAGGCAAACACAGGGAACCACTTTTGCAACACTAGCCAGTTCCTCTTTTACTTTTGTTGAATCAAGCCGCTCTGAACCGTCAAAGAAAATGCCCTTTGGGTGAGACTGGGGCCTTGAACACAGAGTACCAATAGCTTATACAGTTCAACACCCGCCTCAGCCTCCTGTCCTTAGTGCCTGGTTACCTAATTTCATGCCAGAACAAGGTATGCTTCAAAGGCCTCCTTCTCTTCCAGGGAACTTTGCTTCCGTGATTGATACCAAGATGCCCTGTTTATACCTGCTTGGCCACTTGCTTTCACAGTAGTGCTGTGTCACACACTATGCACTCCATCATATATACTTCATTGAAAATTTAAAAACTATTTCCATGCATTATCGTTACCAGTCCAGTTACTGGGGTACTGGTTTGAGGTCTCTCACTCAGTAGATAAAATGGAATTATTTGTTGAATTTGTGAGCACACCTCTGAGCAGAGCCAGGCATAGACTGGCCATGAACACCACCACTTGGTTGGCTGGATGGCCAGTGAGGGACACATCTGTCACTTACTTCCACGTGCCATTTCTAAACATGGGCCGGACACTCCAAGAAGAGCCGAAGATGTTTAAAGACTTGGAGAAGCAGTCGTTGTAAATCAAGCCCGTGTAGATGGAGAAGATGCCCATAAGGAGAATCAGATAGCGTCCATGGAAGAAGGTGTTCCAGATCTGGCATCAGGGAGACAGAGAGGATGACTGTCAGTGGGCTTGGCACCAAACCCTGGGAGTGTCTTACAGAACGTCTCTAGCACCACTGGAATAGTCCTGGTGAGGCACACAAGCCCTCTGCAGAGGCCCCACAGGACGAGGCAACATCAAAGCGATCCAAATAGAGCACACACATCATTATTTTCCTGAGCTTATGTACATGAATCAGAGAAGTCCTAGACCACTCGTTGTTACTGTGGAAGCAAAACCATATAAGTCCCATATTCTTTAAGTCATCATTGGTTAGAAAACATAACTGAACCACGAGCTGAGGCCTTCATGTCAGGGAAGGGACATGACAGTGGCAGCTGTTGTCTCAAGTGCTTCTAGGAGACAAGTGCAGGGCTGGACTCAGATGGCAGCTCAATTTCATGGCAAGTCAAATCTACACTCGTTTTGGGTCTTGTAAAATTAAGTCTCTGTCTAAGCACATCCACTAAAAAGAGTCAAGTGCTTTCCATAATACTGAGTGACGTGTGTCAATCCCTCTCAGAACTGCCCAAGTGTAGCACTGAGACTTCAAATATTTATTATAGGAAACTACAGCTGTTAGAATGCTGGTCATGCAAAACTATAAAAATCCAGGCGTGGATATTCCCACTAACTTTGCTGATGATTAACCCACTATGACGTCATTGAACTAGCTCTAGTTAAGAAAACTTGTAATAATAACAAAAAAAAACTTGTAATAAAAATTTGCAGATTTTTTTTTAATTTTTTTATTTATTTATGATAGTCACACACACACACACACACACACACACACACACACACAGAGAGAGAGAGAGAGGCAGAGACACAGGCAGAGGGAGAAGCAGGCTCCATGCACCGGGAGCCCAACGTGGGATTCAATCCTGGGTTTCCAGGATCGCACCCTGGGCCAAAGGCAGGCGCCAAACCGCTGCGCCACCCAGGGATCCCTGCAGATATTCTTAAAATTCAGAACATAGCTAAAGCAGATTTCTGGCTTATAAAATGTATTACAATGAATATAAAGTGACCCTAACTAACTTTGAAACACTACAGACTCTTTTTTTTTTTTTTTTTTTTTTTTTTTTCACTACAGACTCTTGAGTTGTCTGAACCTTCACAACATGGAGAAGGCACTTCATGGAAGGTGCAGACACCTCATGTGTAAAAGTGAAGACACAATATTCAGAATTTCTTGGTGTTTCATAAGAACATTGATCATAGGCTGATTGTGAGAGAAAGGCTCTGCCATTAAAAAAAAAAATTGTGACTTTTTCTTTTTTTCTTTTTTTTTTTTTTTAAAGAAAGAGAGAGAACACGCACCAGCCAGGGAGAGGTAGAGGGAGAGAGAGAGAGAGAGAATCCCAAGCAGCCTCCCCATTGACTGCAGAGCCCAATGTGAGGCTTGATCCCAAGACTCTGAGATCATGACCTGAGCTGACATCAAGAGTGGAATGTCCAACTGGCTGCACGACCCAGGTGCCCCGGAAAAAATATCTGTGAGATTTTACGTGGGGGAAAAAAAAAAAGGTAGCCACAAATTAATATGGACTATTTGATCCCAGTTTTTAAAAGTTATTTGTGTATAAGCACAGAAAAAAAAAATGGAAAGATACATAAAAACATTAGTTGCGATTTTCTCTAGGTAAATTGTTGTATTTTCCCCAATTTTTAAAATAAGCATACATTGCTTTTACAATCAAAGGTGGGGGAAACTTAAAAATAAGATCAATGCCTTATCAAGCAATACACAAAACAAAAATGCTGAAAGGAACCTCACCACACCAGCCAAAGCACTGAGCTACGGGCAGGAATTTCTGTGTTGAATTGTGGTCCTCTTTTACTTTCTATCTTTTGCTTTTCATAAAACATTTTATTTCTATGGTGAAAACAATATACACATTTTTCTTATTCTACTGATAACCTCAAGGAAATGAGGCAAGATATTCGATGGACACCCACCTCATTGTTCGTCTTCTGGGAGAGCAAGTGTCTCTCATTAAGGACCATCCAAAGGGCTGCCAATAGCATCACAATCCCATGACCACAGTCTCCAAACATCACAGCAAACAGGAAGGGGAAAGTGATGATGGTATAGGGAGCTGTAGAGGTGAGATCCACAACAGCCTGAGTCCTTCCCATAGCCACTGGGTCCCCATCAAAGATCTATCATGTTCCATGACCCACAAGTTGGTCTCCTTGTATCTTTCTGATTCTGTCTTCCCTCCCCATCCCGACCCCAACACTTGCTTAGCTCCCACATACATTAATTCATCAATAAATAAGCATTATTATTCCCCATTTGCAAACGAGCTGAATTTTGAAGCAGTTAAATGACTTGCCCAAGATCACAAAATTTAATGGGATTTAAAATCAGTTTTCTGGGGCACCTGGGTGGCTCAGTGGTTGAGCATCTGCCTTTGGCTCAGGTTGTGATCCTGGGGTCCTGAGATCAAGTCCCACATCAGGCTCCCCACAGAGAGCCTGCTTCTCCCTCTGCCTATGTCTTTGCCTCTCTCTGTGTCTCTCATGAATGAATAAAATCAATCAATCAATCAATCAATCAATCCAGTTGTCTAGGGGTCCCTGGATGGCTAGTTGGTTAAGCATCCAACTCTTGATTTCGGCTCAGGCATCATTCAGGAATGATGAGATCAAGGCCTGAGTTGGGCTAGCCATGGAGCCTGCCTAAGATTCTCTCTCTCCCTCTGCTCCCCTCCCCTCCTAAAACAAATAAATAAGTAAAACCAGTTTTCAATCTGAGTGTTTTATATACCTTCTACCGCCATTTTTTGTCTGTTTCTCCACCATTCACATGCACCATGCACCTCCAGAATTTATCACAGGACACCTAGGGGGCCCCTGTATTATAGGTCAGAAGATTAGGATACAGGCTGGAGGAGAGCACTATGGACCACATGGATGAAAGGCATCTGGTCTACCCCTTTTATTTTACAAACCAGGCTCCTAATATCACATAGCTATGTCATTAAGAATCTAGTCTTCTCTCAGTCCTGTATATTTCCATGTCACCACAAAACAGCTATGGCTCTGTGACCATGTTGTGAGATGACCCTCACTGAATTGGTAAGGGAAAAAAGAACTGAATTTGACTGCCCAATAAGGTTATGGTTTAAGGGAGAGCAAGTGAAATCCTAACAAAGAACAAATATTTCACTACTCACCATTTATAGGGGACAACACAGGGCATTAAGAAGCCAAACAGAATCTTAGTAATGTCACAGTTTTAAGCAATTCATCTCTGTCACCCCAGGGGTAAATCTTACCCAGTTTTCATTTTCAAGCTGCCCCATTATTCAATGCATCAGACCCTTTACCTGGGTTTATTTCCCGGTAACTGCCCACACCATATGCATCTACAATATTCTGGAAGCCAGCTGTGAATTTATTGGTCCTGTTAAATGTAGGAGGAGCTGTTTTGGATTGCACTGTAGTCAGGATGGGGACCATGGAGGAGCCACTTAGTTCCTACAAAAAACATTGACAAAAATTTAAGGAAGAGAGCTTTGTGTTGGGGTCAGCACATGGATCTTAGTCCAATTTGCACCATCCCTTATAGGTGAACTCAGGACAATTTATTGACCTCTGTGGGACCCATGACCACATCTATATAAGTGAATACCTTCCTAATATTTACCTAATTTATCCCACAGGAGAATCATCAAGAGAGTAGAGTTCTGGCCATTTCCATTCTCCTGCTCCTGCAAATGCACCTGTTGTGCCCAGTTCTGGGTCCTTTACTTTTTCCATTCTCTCTACTCACTCCCTCAAAAGTCCATCCACTTTCCTAATTTTGCACCATTCTCCTGTCCAGGTTTCAAACTCTCATGTCTCAGCAACCCCACAAAATCCAAGAGCCTAAAACAAAATTCATCAATTTGTCCCAATGCCAAGTCCTCTTTTGGACTCACTGCTCCTTCATCAGACTCCCTTCTCCAGATCCCTGAACCTTTGGAATCATCAGACGTCTACCTCTTCCTGGTTCAATCAAATATGTCACCAAATCTTGCTGATTGTACCTTTCAAATTCTTCTTCTTCTTGCTCCCATCTCCACCAGCTTAGCCCCAAGCTTTGCCATCCTCCTGTCTCTTACCCTTTCATTTATCCTATACTCCAGACAATGCAACATTTTGTTTATAAGATAAAACAGTACTGCTTCAGTCATGCTATGCTCCTACTCAAAAATCTTCAAAGGCTTCTGATTAACTAATGAAATCAAAACTCTTGAGTCTTGTAATCAAGACTTCTTTCCAATATTGACTTATACTCTCCCTTCACACCTTCACCCCCACTACTTCTGCATGGAAACCAGCCAACTCCCCTCCAGCCATCTTACCCAGGTATGAACCATTCCCAGGCTCACCCTCTAAGAACCCTCTGTTGGTTCTAAAGGCTAACAGCACTTACCATCTGCACACTCAGTGGGACTTCGCACCAGCTAAGTTACTGCTCATCAATCCTCCTCCCAACACCATGAGGTCAGTATCAACTACCTATGAAGCCCCACTTTACTGATGAGGAAATGAAGGTCCAGAGAGTTTAAGTAACTTCCCCTAGGTCACACAGCAAGTGGAGGTGTTCCTTACTCTATTGTTATCTGTCTTCATAGGTGTGATCATCACCTCCTCCTTATGGGCAAGGACTGTGGCTGGCGTTTTGTTTTGTCTTATTTTTAACATGCATCCCAGCAGCTCACATAATATCTAGCATACAGTAAGCATATTTTGCTTGTTCATGATGATGATAATGAAAGCTACCTCTCACACCTCACCTCCAACGTGCATGAGGCCTTCTACTTCAAAATAACACTTTTGTTATTTCAGAGGGCTGAAGAAACTGCAGAAATAGTCCAAAGTAGGGGATCCCTGGGTGGTTTAGCAGTTTAGTGCCCGCCTTTGGCCCAGGGTGTGATCCTGGAGTCCCAGGATCGAGTCCTGCATCAGGTTCCCTGCATGGAGCCTGCTTCTCCCTCTGCCTGTGTCTCTGCCTCTCTTTCTCTCTCTCTCTCTGTGTGTCTCTCACAAATAAATAAACAAAATCTTTTTTTAAAAAAGAAAATAGTCCAAAGTAGCCTCACAGAAGTTTGACCCCCTTCATGATTACAGAATGACCCTGTTTAGTTCAGATCCCTGCAAAGGGACATTTCCTTGAAAGCTTGGTAGTCTTGTCCGCACTGCACTGAAACATTTCTAAATGCAAACTGGATCGTGTCACTCCAGCATGGGAATAAGATCAGACCCCAAACACCAGTAGAAAGTCCTTCTCATTCTTTAAACTGGCCACATCTTCTCTCTAGCCACTGGCCTTCAGGTGAGCCTGTGCCACACACTCTTCTCCACCGCCGGTCACCTGCTCACCAACCACCCTTCCATGATTCAGTTCAGGCATCACTTCCTCTAGGAAGCACCCCCACCCTTCCCAACCTGGGTGACATGCTCTTTTTAAGGGCCTCATTTACATAGTTATTGGACTATCACATGGGGATATCCAAATCCTGTCTCCTGGCTCCAGGATCATGGTCAAGTTACTTCTACTTTCTGTGCCTCAGTTTCCTCACCTACAAGTGGGAGAAAGATAGCTCCTACCTCCTAGTCCAATCCCACCTCAAGGCCTTTACTTTCAGACCCTCCAGCCTGAAAGCTCACCCTCTTACCCACCCTCCTGCTCCTGCTCCAAGCCACCTGCTCAGAGAAGCCTTCTCCAGGAACAGACCTATAGCAGCATGGTAAGACCTACAATTCCAAGTGCCACTTTGACATCTTCAAGTCTCACAGGACCCCAAAAGCCAAACCATGAGTTCCTCTGCTCTCACCAGATTTACCACCCACTGAGCAGGAAAGTCTCCCCACCCAGCTAGGTCTCCCATAGGCCAGACCAGCAGCACACTGCCTAGTCTTCCATCTCCTTGCCACCCCAGAAATGTATTCAAACAACCTACACATCTCCGCCCCCCCCCACACACACACACCATGAAACCAGGGCTCCTTCCCCTTGTGGGAGGCTGCCACCCATAGCCTTGGCTGGCTCATTCTGCTCCCAAGTGCAAGCCCCAAGTACAACCTCTATGTGGCCCTCTGTGGTGTGTGGTGTCCTCCTCCCCTGGGCTATAAGCATATGTGACTAATCAATTGCTGCCAGTCTCATGTGTCCGGTGGCAGGTGTTGTGTGCTTGGCCTTTTTGTACCATTTAGGCCAGAGTTTCCCTTCTTCACCAATAGGGTGAATAAGGGATCAGAACAAAGCATCCCTCCTCACCCCATTCTCTACCAACCCCATTTTATTTCACCACCATCGCTGCCTGAAATCATATTAGCTATGGACATGCTTATTTTCTGTCTTCCTTTCTAGAAAGTCCATCAGAGTAGAGCCTTATTCTGTCTGCATAGCTCTAGATCTGTTCCTGGTGCACAGGGACCATCTGGAGAGGTGAATGATAAAGGCTGTGACATTAACTAGGGTACAGAGTGCTGAGCACAGCTGTGGGCACACAGAGAACACAGGTGTCTGGTTGTATTTCCAGCTAGACTGTGACCTTTGTGAGGGGAAGGACGGGCCTACCATCACAATGAATGTGGTATCCACAGTGCTCAACATGCACTTGCTGAAGATCAAAGAAATGTTGACTATGTGTCAGAAAAAGGAGCTTCTAATAGGTGCTCAACAATGGATTAAGAACTCAAAGATGAAGGAGACAATCTTTCTTAAGTTCATGTGACATAGGAAGCTGATAGCCTCCAAGTGCCTGACACAGACAGGCTGCTGAGGCTAAATGTGGCTCACCTGCCCTCTGCCCTGCTCCATCTGCCACTCACCATGCCTTGCTCTAATGCCCTCTTGATGCGCCCGGTGTCTGCCACCGGGAACCAGATCTCAGCGATGGCGCACTGCTGGGTGACGTCAATGTTGCACATGTTCAGAATGTGGTAAATGGCCTTCATCTTCTGCACTTTAATGGCCCAGGAGTGCCAGTTGGCAGCTGCTTCTTGCAGGAGGCGCTGACGGTGAGATTCTGTTTGTGTTATGACCTGGATGGGAGCAACACACAGAGAAACAAGGAACACTCATGGAGAGCTCTGGCAATGTGGCAAAATGGAAGCCATTTGTGGCTTCTCCTGCTCTGGGCTCCCTCCTCTGGCTTGCAGCCCTCCTCCACCTTCAACCCTCATGAACAATTTATCTTCCCTTGTAAAGGTTAAAACCCTTGGGCAAAGATTGTATCTTCCTTTACTTCTAAATTCCTTATAGTACTATTGTCATGTGCTGAATTGTGTCCCCAACAAAGATATCTTGAAGTCCTAACCACTGTAACTATGAATGTGACCTTATTTGGAAACCTGGTCTTTGCCGATATAATTAACATGAGGTCATGCTGGAGGTAAGGAGAGCCCTAACCAATGACTGGTGTCCTTATAAGAAATTCAGACATCTGGGGATCCCTGGGTGGCACAGCGGTTTGGCGCCTACCTTTGGCCCAGGGTGTGATCCTGGAGACCCGGGATCGAATCCCATGTCGGGCTCCCGGTGCATGGAGCCTGCTTCTCCCTCTGCCTATCTCTCTGCCTTTCTCTCTCTCTCTCTCTCTCTCTCTCTCTCTCTCTCTCTCTCTGTGACTATCATAAATAAATAAAAATTTAAAAAAAAAAGAAATTCAGACATCTGAGGGCACCTGGGTGGCTCAGCCGGTTAAGCATCTGATTCTTGGTCTTGATCTCAAGGTCATGAGTTCGAGCCCCATATTGGACTCCATACTGTGCATGGAGCCTACTTTAAAAAAAAAAAAAAAAAGGCGGGTTGGGGGAGAAATGTGGACATCTAGGCATGCAGAGAAGAATGCCTTGTGGGATTCAGGCAGAGACTGGAGGGAAGTATCTACAAACCTAGGAACACCAAAGATTGCCAACAATGACCAGAGGCTTGGGAGATGTCTTCTATTCAGGCTGCTATCATATATTACCATACTGGGTGGCTTAAACAATAAAAATTTTTCATATTTCTGGAAGCTGGAATTTGAGATTAGAGTATATAGCATCATGGTTAGGTAAGAATCTTCTTTTGGGTTGCAGACTTCAAATTCTATCTCCACAAGGTAGAAGGGACAAGCAAGCTCTCTGGGGCCTCTTTTATAAGGGCACTAGTCCCATTCATGAGAGCTCCACCCTCATGACCTAATTACCTCCCAAAGGCCCCACCTTCAAAGAACATAGGAGTTAAACATTTTTAACATATCAGTTTGGGGGTGAGAGTGACACACATTCAGACCATAGCAGAACGCAAGGAAGAATCATTTCCTAGAGCCTTCAGAGGAAGTGTGGCTCTGCTGACATTTTTTCAGACTCCAGAACTATTATCTTAAGCCACCCAGTTTATAGTAATTTGTTATAGCAGCCTTAGGAAATTAATACATCTATCAAAATGCTTTACATATATAATGTCTTCAAGAAACAAGTGAATTAATGAAGGAGGGAATGGACAATTGTGCCCACAGAGTATTTAATGGAATTCATTTTTGTTTGGTGCTACCAGAGTGTACCTTTCTCAGCAACCTATACTGGTGGTTCCCCAGGTACCAAACAGGAGCATGAGTTTGTTTTTTTTGTTGTTTTGTTTTGTTTTGTTTTTTAACAGGAGCATAAGTTTGGAATAATTTCTTCACAAAGCTTTCATAAGACCTAGTATGGAGTATTTAGGGAAAGACTGTCAAGGGTAATTCCTTCAGAGAACCCGAGTCTCCTTGACAAGTGACAAAGAAAGAATAGAGGGGATTAAAGAAATTAAGCACAGATTTTTTTCTAGGAAGGCAAAAATGTCTATTATCCTGTTATGCAACATACACGCACTCACATGCCACATCTCTAAAGATACTCCCTAAGAATCCAGAACCGTGCTAACAACTGATACAACAGCCATATGCAGCCATTAGTTTTTGAATTTAATTAAAAATAATTAAAAATAAAAATTCAGGGAGCACTTGGGTGGCTCAGTCCACTAAGCAACCAACTCTTGATTTTGGCTCAGGTATGACCTCAGGGTCATGAGATGGAGCCCTGCATCAAGCTCTGCATTGGGCATGGAGCCCGCTTAGGATTCTCTCTCTCTCTCTCTCTCTCTCTCTCTCTCTCTCTCTCTCTCTCTCCCTTTGTCCCTCCCCTCCAAGAAAAATAAAGAAAAAAAATTTAAAAAGAATAAAAATCCAATTCCTCAGTTGCACTAGGCATGTTTCAAGGGCTGCTTATGTGTGGCCCACAGCCACAGCAATGCACTGGCAGGTTAGATAACATGCCCACAGAAAGTTCTACAGGACAGTGCTCAGCTAGAAGCAATCTGATGCTGCTTTTGAGCAATCACTTTCAAAGCTTATTGAAGCAAGTGTTCCAATCATATAACTGTTGAGCACCACCCTGGATGACAACTGACTTTACAAAAGGGTATGAATTTGGGGTGTGTTCCCATGGTGAATCTAGACTCACTCACTATTTTTACAGAAATAATTGGTCCACTCAAACAACTGGGTGAGGCAATGGAAAAAGAATCAGCTAGACTGGTTATTCAACTGAATTGGCGAGTTGGTTGTATCACAGATGTGGCCTACACCAGGCTTACAATAAAGGGCTCCTTTTATCAGGCTGGGGTGGCCACCCAAAAACTGACTGGGGCTGCGGTCAATTCTAAGCTCAGGCAGAGCAGTACTGACATTCAGAAGCACCACCTCCAATTTATTGAACACTGTTCTCTGATTACGAAATCTTCCACAGGGATTGTTGGAAGAACATAGCTAACATTCCAGCCAGCCTGGAATCCTGGAAGCCAGGGCCCTGGGACACAGGACTTACATGGAAATGGCAGACATGGGCCCTCTGCAGCCCCCACTCAGGTCATGGGCCCCAACTCTTCACTCACAGTGATTAAATCTTCCAGCTTCATGTTGACGCCAGCCAGCATCTCTCTGCGCTCTGCCGCAGGCTCTGGGCAGGGGTATATGGTGGCTCGAAATCTGTGTTTCATACATTCCAAAGGTCACAAGGGGGTTACCCCTGAAAAGCATTCCACGCATCCTCTTCTGCTCAGCCATCGCTTGCTGACTTCGGTTAGATAACCATCTTTTTCTAGAATTACTGTCCCTTTGGCAGTTGGAAAATGAGCCCCAGTTCTAAGGGTTCCCGATGCATTGCTCTGCACTATTTAAATTCAAGCTAGGAGTCTATTCTATGAATAAACTTCATTCAAACCAAAGAACCTGTGAGCTTTTATGTAAATAAGACTACAGCTTGACTTGTCTCTTCTTCTTCCCAGAAGTCCTTTCTGCTCCTATTCCCACAGCTCCTGAAGATCAGTCGCATTTTTAACAATATCTAGTCATATGCGGGAAAGTTGTTCTAAAATCCTAAGGGACCTCGAAGAAGCCACCAGTCAAGAGTACTCTGTCTCACACACCTTCTTCACGTGTGAAGTGACCCAAATCACTAAAGATTCGTGACCCAAATCACTGATGAGAGAGCCTCTTACCCATCGCAGATCTTCCTGATTTTCTGCCTGAGTTGCTCTCCTTGATAAAATATGATGAATATGTTCTTTTTAATTTCTTCTTTCTGTAAAATCAGAACAGTAAAAAAACTATATACATATACATATAGTTCTTATATATATTATACAGATTATATAACATATGTAATAATATGTATATAATTTTTATATATTAAAATTTTTTATTTTTGGTTATAACATAATAGTAATGTAAATTTGTGTTTTTAGATTTTAAAAGATTTAAAGATTACAACTGGAGGGGTTGGGTTCCTCGCTGGCTTACCTGGTAGAGCATAAAACTCTGGATCTCATGGTTATGAGTTTGAGCCTCATATTGGGTAGAGAGAGTACTTAAAATCTTTTTTTATATTATTATTTATTTGAGAAAGAGGGTACACATGAGTTGGAGGGGCAGGAGGAGAAGCAGACTCCCCACTGAGCAGGGAGCCCAATGTGGGGCTCAATCCCAGAACCCAGGGATCATGGACTGAGCCAAAGGCAGATGCTTAACCGAGTCACCCATGGGCCCCAAAAACAAAACCTTAAAAATAATTACAACTGGAAAACTTCAGCTTCTCCCCGTTGATCTAAGTTTCATAATTCTTTATGGTTGAGGGCAAGGTCATTGAGACAGGCCAAGATAGCCTTAAGTGACAACCCCCTAACTGGCTACACCAGCCAGACCACAGCTGAGCCCATATTCATCTCTAACACTATATTTAAGAGGTGGGTTCATAAACAAGAAACCAAACAAAAGTGAGGAACCAGGATACTATAAGGCTTAAAATGAAAATAGCATAACTAGCTCACCAGAGTTAACTCATATACAATATTTACATTTCAAGGGTAAGTGAGGGTGTTCGATGTTTCACAAAGGTAAAGCCATGTCTAATTTCTGACTCTCTCTCATAGGAACACTGATTAAAATGCAATTCTAAAGTCCAAGTTTGACAATTCACAAGAAAGAACATGTATTTCACAAGCATATATGAAAATGTTCCAGCAAAGAAATGTGCTGTTTCGCTCTTACTTAGCTTAGGGTAAAGGGGGGTAAAGGTAAAATAATGAAATCCATTTTTGGAAAAGTTAAAACCAATCCACTACACTCACTACCTACAACTCAGGGCACTGGAATCACGTACAGCCCACTGAGAAGCCATTTGTCAGGACCCATCAAGTGTCATGAAAATGCCCCACACCCTTTAAGCCAGCAATCATATTTCCTTGAATTTACGTCTCACAAGTAATACAAAAGAAAATAAAAATGACAAGCATGAAAATGCTCACTCATCACAGTGTCTCTATTGTGGAGAAAAATTGGAAACAAAGCCCATAAGTAGATAGACGAGGTCACGTCTACACAATGGAAATCTTAGGCATCAATTGAAAAGATGATAAAAATGAATCGTCTCTTTGGCAGCTGCTCATGGGAGCCGAGAAGGGGTATTTAGGCTTTGGGGGACTGCCTGCTTTACATGATTTCCAAAGGTTTTGTCCAACGATCCCTGAATCTCTCAGGTCTTCTTGTCCCCTACACCACCAGAACCAGGAATCTTCTCTGACCTCCTGTCATCTGCTCAGTGACCTTCAAATATCAACAGGCTAATGTCATATTTTCTCAGATGCCTACTGTATAAATACTCTCTCTACATCATGATTATTACATATCAAAACATGATGATGGAAAGTGATGATTTCACATCCATTTTTAAAATAGTATCTATAAGGGACACATAGTGATATAGAGGTAAATTGTATTCTCTAAGATCAAGAGAAGAAAAAAAAAAAAAGATTCCATGTTTATCACCACAACCTGCTCATGGCTTACAGATGAGAAAATACAAGAAAAAATAAGCTTTCTTCTCATTTTAAATTTCATCCAACTGTGAAATTGTTTTCCATGAAAGAAACTGAAAATTAATTTTTTCACCTCTATTCTGGAAAATATTACAACACTTAGAAATAAGCCCAATTTGGAATTAAAAAGCAAGCAGCTGGAACACCTGTGTGGCTCAGTGGTTGAGTGTTGGCTCAGGGTGTGACCCTGAGGTCCTGGGATCAAGTCCGCCATAGGGATCTGCATGGGGAGCCTGCTTCTCCCTCTGCCTATGTCTCTGCCTCTGTCTCTCATGAATAAATAAATAAAATCTTAAAAAAAAAAAAAAAAAAAAGATTGTAGGGCAACCTGCTGATGCTCAGCACTTCAGCATCACCCTCAGCCCAGGGTGTGATCCTGGAGACCCAGGATGGTGTCCCACATCAGGCTCCCAGCATGGAGCCTCCTTCTCCTTCTGCCTGTGTCTCTGCCCCTTTCTGTGTGTCTCTCATGAATGAATAAAAAAAATCTTAAAAAAAAAAAAAAGATTGTAGGTTTTCTTTTTACAAATTGGGGGGAAGAGAAAAGAAGGGCAGTAGATTCTAGGTTCACAGAACTGAAGATCCCCAGGCTCAGAGGAACCCCCTCCCCTCCATGAGGGCCCCAGGAAGCTGAGGAGAGAGTTCCCCATGGCCCCCAACACCCACCGTGACGGGATCCTCCAGAGTCGTGTCCATCTCACTGAACTTCAGGTAGATATTGCCTCGGCAAACTCTCCACAGCAGCCTCTCAAAGGAAGCCATCCGCTCCCGGTTAATCACCCCAGCCGTGAACCTGGGTGGTCACACAGGGAAATGCTGCTGAGGCTCAGGGAATGGGGTGCAGGGAGAAGCCCCCAAGGATGTGAGGACGCGCCACCACGAGAGGAAGGCCCTCTGCCCCCTGAGCACAACTCAAGGACTCTGCTTTAGCTGCCAGGGGTCCCAAGGCCCTGTTGGCCTCCTGTTTCTTCTGATGTGTTGAACACTCCCCAGTAACCCCGAAACTACACAGTCACTCCTTTACAAGTAGATATAGGACAGCCTATCCATTATGGCTTCAGAGCTAAAGAAAGGAACTGTTCCAATTGCTCAACCCTGGGCTCTATGCATTTTTACAAATAATGTGCTAGAAGTGAGACATATATACCGATTTGGTTCATCTCTACTTTTAAAACCATCCAGGTGTCTAGATAATTTCCAATGGAAACTTTATATTAACTTTAAAACGGTTACTTTCATTGCTCTTTCACTTTCAACATATGCTAATCCTATATTACCTTCTGAGCAAGTATTTTCAATGAATATGCAACAATTTTACTTGGACATTGAATGAAATCCCACTATTTTGAATCACCACACATTTTAACATATTAACTCCTTCCGGTGGTGGACGTGATCCTCTAACTACCTCATTTCTAACTGCACTTCAAACAGCCAATTCAGAATCTATTTTATTACCATAACAGTATTTCCAAGAAAAGGAAGCAGAGAACAGTTGAGAAAACCCATCTAAATAATCCTTGCCACATCCTTCCTGCCTAGGAACAACACAAACATTGTACTCTTCAGACTCTGGGAATGTTAGTATTACCCTTTTGCTAATGGTGAACTATCTCCCACTCCACCAACCTGGAAAGGTTACCCTTGGGTTTATTATTGTGTAGAAGCCTATAATCATATGAAATAACCCTCATTCCAGGGGTTTATTCATTCATTCATTCGTTCATTCACTCACTTAAACCCTCAGGGAAATCTATCACACTCCAGGAACAGCTATGGACCAGAAACCCATCTACGTGTAACTTTCTGAGGATAGTCACACTAACCCCAGCTTTCCAGTCACATATGCAGGCACCGTTCTTAACTCCAGGAGACCAGAAGTGTCTTCTGTAAAGAAGTCATCAGCTAGGTTGGTTTCCGTCTGAAAGTCAAAAAAAACCACTGCTTTCTCTTAAACATATTTGGATTAGTTTAAAAGCTCCCTGTATCTCAAAGGTTTGTCTTTTTTTTTTTTTTAAGATTTTATTTATTTGACGGAGCAAGAGAGTACAAACAGGGGGAGTGGCTAAGGCAGAGGGAGAAGTAGGCTCCCTATTTAGCAGGGAGCCCAATGTGGGGCTCAATCCAGGACCCTAAGATCATGACCTGAGCCCAAGGCAGACACTTCACTGGCTGAGCCACCCAGGCATCCCAGGTTTGTCAATTTTTCATGAAACTTTAATTTTCCACAAATAGTTACTAGAATTCAAAAAGTAGAGTGCTCCTTGCCAGATCAAAAATTTCCCAAATCCCAAATCTGCCCTAACTCACTGTCATGCTTTGTTCTGACTTCCACTTCTATCTGCGTGTTCAGGGCACAAGCTTTCCAATGAGCACTGTAATATTTTTGTTTTAGTTCAAATTGGCACCATGTTTCACCCAGAATACCTTCCCCCTCACTAATGACCTTAGTATGGGGCAGAAACAAGAGTGATTTAGGCATATTTCAACCAGCCAGTTTTCAAAATGGACACTTGAGATTCTGTGGGTAAGGTCCCTTTAATCAACAGTCCCCCGACAACAACCTCAAAGAAGTCCTGGGTTTTCTTCAGGAGATGTTTGAGTTCCGTCAGTTCTAGGAAACTTTTCTTCAAAGCCTGCTGGTTCTGGTTGGCTTCCTGCAATTCTCCTTCAAGTTTTTCTAGAAGAGTCTATGCAGAATGGAAAAAGAAGGGAAAGCAAGCAGACAGTGCTATGACACTTACTGCACATTCATCAATACAAATAACTAAATATAAGGGAAGAATTCAGTTTATTGTAATGTAACTGGAAGTTGAGTGGCTGTCCCATCCAACTCAATAGGATTGTAAAACTATAAGGTAGATCCATTTGCATCCAATAGGGAAGATTTGAAAACACTCTAGGGGGATGGAAATCAGCTTACTGAGGAAGCCAAGGCATTTCAGCAAATAGCATGGCTCTCCTCCATCTAAAACACTTAAAAAGGGAAGCTGGAATGAATTTACATGTTGAGAACCTCTTCTGCCTCAAACACACTGTAACAATGAAATTAAAAAAAAAAAAAAAAGGAATCACTAGTTCTGGGTTGGAGTCTGGAGAACCAGGTACAAGCAAGTAAAAAGGGCTATCCAGAGAAGTGTGAACAGAACAAGGCCAGAAGACAAAAACAGAGGGAAAAAAAAAATCTTCCTTCCAAAATGAGCCTACAAAATGAGTAAGTCTCAAGCATAAATCTAGTAAGAAAAATCACCATCAAGATCAACAATCAGAACACAAATTCACACTGGGTGAAATCATTTTTATGGAGTAGTCTGCAGGGAGGACTCGATCCTAGGACCCTGGGATCACAATCTGAGAGGAAAGCAGACATTCAGTCACTAAGCCACCCAGGTGGTCCCCCACTTTTTAAAGAGATTTGGTAAATAATTTAAAAATGTGAAAGCTCATTTCTCATTTATCCAAATGTCCATCAACAAAAGAATGGATTAAGTTCCATAAAGTATGGAATATTCAAGGATTTACTTTCAGAAACAAAACAATATAGTGTCTTAAAAAAAATAAAATGATGTAAGAAAACAGCAAGTTGCAAAAGAATAAACAATAATTTCATGTATATCTAACATGTGCAAAGCTAAATCATATGCTATTTAGAAGACTATATGTGTGATAAAACTATGAAGAAACAAGGAAAAGAAAAATGCAAAATTCAGGAAAGTGATTATCTCAAGGGGTTGAGGAGGGGGATGTGGGGTAGGAGAGGAAGGGGAAAGGCTAGAGGAGGGGCACACAGAGGGCTTTAAGAACCTTACGGTGGTCACCCTTTAGGTCCTACAGGGTGATGGCACTCCGTGTTTGCTATATCATTCTTTATATTTTACACATATTTTCTAAAAATTCTGTATCAATTCAATAATTAACAAGAACTGCCAGTAAATCAGCAACCACAGTATGTGAAAATGGATTAAGGTCACCTAGTAAAAGAGATTATTGTGATAGATGTTTTTTTAATCTACCTAAGAGATACCCTTACCAAAGAGATTAAAAAATAAACCATAAAAGATATTCATGCATATATTAGTTTGTCTCCCCCACAACCCCCAAAAGCCTATTAATATCAGACAAAATTGAGCTTTTAACTTTTTTTTTTTTAATATCTTATTCATGAGATACACAGGCATAGACAGAGAAAAGCAGGCTCTCCTCAGGCAGCCCAATGCAGGACTCCATCTCGGAACCCCGGGATCATGCCTGAGCCAAAGGCAGGCACTCAACACCTGAGCCACTCAGGTGTCCCCTTTAACATTTTTATGATAGAAAAATTTTATGATAGAAAATTTTATATATGTTAGGTGGAGAGAACTGTGTCATGAACCCACATACACATCACCAGACTTCAATTTTATCCCACCCCCTCCCCTCCCAGAGATAATCACTACCCAAAATTTTGAAGCCTATTTTTTTGTTTTTTAGAGAGAAAGGAAGAGAAAGAATCCTAAGCAGGCTCCATGCTCAGTGCAGAGCCCAACATGGGTTGATCTCACAACCCTGAGCTATGACTGGAGCAGAAATTAAAAGTTGGACGCTTAACTGACTGAGCCACCAGGGAACCCATCACTACCCTAAATTTTGAACACTAACTATAGTGGCACAAAGTTGAGGGGAGAAAATGAAATCCCCATTTCTTAACCATTTGCTCTATCTACTATCCATGATTTTATTAAAAAGAATGCTGCCTTTAAAAATATTTTTGGAGAATCATGTATTATTTAATAAACAGTTTACAATATGATAGTAAATGCAAAAGTAGAAAATTATAATAAGGACGATGGACATGTAATTACATAAACATATAGCTGATAAGGACAAAACCTAAAAACAGAAAAGTTAAGGCAGTTTTTGCTGAGACGGTAGGTTTGTTTTTTTTTTTTTAAGATTTTATTTATTTATTCATGAAAGACAGAGAGAGAGAGGCAGAGGGAGAAGCAGGCTCCATGCAGGGAGCCCAATGTGGGACTCAATCCCCGGTCTCCAGGATCACGGCCTGAGCCAAAGGCAGGCACCAAACCGGTGAGCCACCCAGGGATCCCCTAGATTTTTTTTTTCTGAATTAATATTTCCTCTAGGATTATGAAAGCCTCTTTAGAAATTCTGCAAGGCAAGAGCCCAAAGTTACATGTGTACTCTTGCCGGAAGGATTCCTCTCCCTAGGAATGCTGGAGGAACACCCTATTGCCAGTTGAATCAATCTGTCCCCTTGAATAATGATTAGACAGATATTGCTACTCATAAGCTCACATCATTCTAATTTCATCTTTACAATAAACAATATCCAGCGGTGCCTGGGTGGCTTAGTTGGTTAAATGTCTGACTCTTGGTTTCAGCTCAGGTCATGATCTCGGGGTCGTGGGACTGAGCCCTACATTGGGCTCCATGCTCAGCATAGGGTCTGCTTAAGACTCTCCCTCTGCTCCTTTCCCCGCCTCGTGCTCACTCACTCTCTCTCTAAAATAAATAATCTTAAAACAACAAGAAATAATAATATCCAAAAAAACACACTGATTAAGGATAACTCGGCATACATCTGATTGCCTTTTATCTAACTGGTTATTACTACAAGTGTATGAGAGTATAGAGTTTCAAAACCAACCAGTCAGCCAATACTAAATTCATTTGGATGCATTGATTTTTTTTTTCGATGCTTTTTTTTTTTTTAAGGTACTGTGAAACATTATAACCAACTCAACGTCTCCCAAAATATCCAGGCTTTAATATGATAGGATCCAAAATATTTTCCAGGGAAGTTGCCAGTCTCATATATGTCAGAGTATCTTTATTTATACTACTAACAGCTTCAAAAATTCCAAGAATTTTAAGTTATCTTAAAAGGAAAAAAAAAAAAAAAACCCAGCCAGAGATAAGGCTCAGGCAGTGAAGTTTCCCTACCTTCCCACTTCCTCTTCTGAGGATAAAATACCCATTCTTTTTTTAAAATCAAGATCTCCAAATCCCTCCAGGATCTAGTTCTACCTACCTTTTGACATCCTTTCCCATTGCCTCATCCCTTTCTCTATCACCTCCTCTAGAAGCTTCTAGAGGGCCTGGCCATGTTTTGTTTCTTTCTAAGGTATCTTGTGCATGGCGAGCACTCAATGTTTTATAAAAAGAAGTAGAGAGGAAAAGTAAGAGGGAGGCCTGCCAGCTATAATGTCCTTGGCTAAAGAAGGCAGCTAACCTTGGCACAGTTGATCCCAGAAGCCAATCTGAGAAGCTTCGGTCTAGGATGGATTCAAAGCAACAGCTATCTTCCACCAGACAGTTAGCAATAATCGGCCTCGGATAAACCTCATTGGCTACAATACTGCGACTGCGAAAGCCATCTCCTACCAGACAGATAATGAGGTAACCTCCCACTGGATCCAGCAATTTCACTTCGGGGTATTTATCCGAAGGAAATAAAATCTCTATCCAAAAAAAAAAAAAAATCTCTATCCCGAAAAGATACCTGTAGTCCATGTTCATTGCATTTACAGTAGCCAGGACAGGGAAACAACCTAAGTGTTCATCAACAGATGAATGGATAAAGACTCCTGGTGTATGTATACAGTGGAATATCACCCAGCCACAGAAAGAAGGAAATCCTGCCACAGCAACAGCATGGATGGACCTTGAGGGCATTATGCTAAGTGTACATCAGGCAGAGACAGACAAATACTTCATGATCTAGCTTATATGGGGAATCTAAAAAGACAAAAAACAAACAAACCAACCAACCACACAGATACAGAGAACAGATTGGTAGTGATGGAGGTTTGGGGTTGTGACATGGGTGAAGGTGGTCATAAGGTCTAAACTTCCTGTTAAGATAAATAAGTCCTTGGGATGTAATGCACAGCATGGTGACAATAGTAAAGGAAAGACAGAAGAAAATGAAGAAAAACAAAAAGAGAAAAAAAACAAAGAAAAAGAAGAACACCCCATTATGCCAGCAGCTTAAGTCTTGTTCATGACCACCATAGAAACAAGACTTTGCTGCCTCTAAGAATTTTATGCCCACAAAGGAAACCACTCCTCAAAGTGGGCTGAGTTCCCCAGGACTGCCTTGGGAGACATAGAAAAGAACCTACCTCCAGCGTAATCATTTCCCGTGGAAGAGGGGTTGGTGGGGGCCTCTCTGGCAATTGAGCCACAATCTCGTTTTGCATCTCATCTTCCAGAAAACCTGTGGGATGAAACCCCACCAGATAACCCAAGGTGATGGTGTTTTCTCACCTAAGAAATGGGTCCCAGCAGACCTGGGATTTTCAACCGCCTCAGCTGCCTGAATTGCCCCAGGGACATGCCACAGCATCTGGATCCCAACCCTCATTGCCCCACTTTGTCTCTAGAAAACTTTGTCCCTATACAAATAGGAACATATTTGTTATAATCCAGCCCAGAAGACCACTTACCTCCCCACCATTCACACTTAAAAAGTAAACAGAAAATTGGCTTACGGAGGATTCTCTCCAGTGACTCACATCTTCTGACTTCATTCACAAATTTCCTTTGGAAGCTACTCACATTCACATTTAACTAGAGCGGGGAGAAACCACAAAACACATATTGGTAGCAACAGCCACCAACGTACTCCTGTTGGTTTTGTGTTTTGATTTTTTGTGGGGGTGTGTGTGCTGGAAAATGTTGCTGGAACCATTTTAGGAATAATTTTCAATTAGCAATAATCACACCTCGTATAAACTTCATTGGCTACAGAACCGCCACTGCACAAAGCTTCATTTTAGGAACAGATATTTCCCTGTACAAGACAAGTGAGTTACAGGCAAAACCTTGATATTCTTTTTTTTTTTTTAACCTTGATATTCTTTCATGTAATCTCCCATATGCCTCAACTCTGGCCTTCATACAATTCTAAAAGATAATCCTCCCACAGATGAGGTTCCCTTGCTTTTAGCTGCATTTACATCCAAATGAGCCTTGAAATCCTCAATAGTCTTGAATGTGACAGGATCTTAAATTTGCATAGTTCCATGCAACCTTATCACAATCACCAACAAAAATTTGGCATCCTGCCCAATCAATGTTACTGAGGAACTGCCTCACCTCAGGTCCTATGCTAGGAACTAAGGATGAAAAGAACAAGATGTGATCCTTCCCGCAGGAGCTTAGTTTTGACCATGATCTTGGTGAGGAAGAAAAGGAGTAAAGAGTCCAACTTTCTAAATCGGATTCAAAAAAGCTTGGTAAGGATCTAAACCACCTCTGGGAAATAAGATCCCAACATCACTCTCCAGACTGTCCAGCCCTAGAATATCACCATAGGAGACTGTGCATTCCAGGATACTTTGTCCTCAGACTAGTTAAGAAACATTGGTCTCTATTCTCAGAACAAGGTTTGGTAATCCACATGCCCATTGGAGATATCGGATTCTTTGTGCCCAAGATTGTGAATCTGAGAAACCACCAAGGAGCCGACACCGATGCAAGTACATGAGGGTTTATTTACAAGCTCGAGCTTGGGTCCAAGTATACTCCACACAGCAGAGCAGGGACTTGGACCCCGAGACTATGAAGCACAGCAGTGTTATAGGGGCCAGTGGCCAAGAGATTGTAACATATGCAGAAAGTTGCACAGTCATGTTGGTCCACACGAAGGTGGCCAACTGAATTATGATTCACCTTATAGTGACCATTTGAACTAGCCTATTATTTGGTTAGAATCCCCACGCAGGATTTTGGCGGGCAAAAGAGGGGTTTTCATTCCTTGGCTGGTTAAAGGTCAGAGGTCCCGCATTCCTAAGTGTGCTAGTTTCTGATAAGGGTGTGCTTAATAGCTAAACTAGGGTGAGGGAGTGTCTTAAACAATAGGCAGGTTGTGTGTGTGTGGGGGGGTTGTACATGAGATGGCGGGTGTAGCACAAAATGGAGTTAGTCCTGCTCTGCTTGTCCAGGGGTAGGGGGTTCTTGTTAGATTTCCTGGGTCCCACATTCCCCCCTTTTTCAGAGGATCCTTTGCAGGACCCAGTTATGGGTCCTGGGCCCCTGTTGACAAAGGCAGTGGTCTTAATTTTTCTCGGCCTCCACAATACTACTTAGGAAAGAAAGTATAATACCATCTAACGAGTATGGACTGCACTGGAGCTTCAAGACTTTCATACAGAGGAGTTACAGATGGAGAAAAGAACAGGTTTGCAAGTCACTTGCTCCGTGTTATCACAGATCTTAGCCAGAACAAGTAGAACCACACAGAATTCCATCTATCCTGGCTCAGGGCTCTTCTCCCTGTACTTAGTTCACTATCAAAAAGTGGTGTGAAAGATAAATCTACTCCCACCTTCCTCTGGTCTCCCAAGAATGCAGCACTTACATCTTTGAACTGAACCAATCCGAGCTCCCCAAGCTCAGCCACGCAGCAATATGCAGCCTCCACCTGGAGGAATAGTTGGGACAAACACATCTCCTCGCTGCGAAACACAGATGCCATCTTGACCAAGCCTTGGTCTGCAGGAGACAAAGATATTGGAGAGAGTAAGAGTAGGACCTTAGTATCAAAAGTGGTTTTAGTTGCACATTAATTAATTAATATCCAGCTTGAAAAAAATATCCAATAGGAACAGCTAATTTTAAAAAACATGAAATAGCACTTTTCACCACCTATTGCATTGGCAAGAGATTAAAAAATTATATACTCCTGTTGTATAGACTCTTACAGCAAGAGCATTTTCATACACTCAGTAGTTGATGTATAGATTTGTACAGCTTTTTCAGAGGGCAATTTGTCAGAGTCTATCAAATTTTATATTACTCATACCCATGATCCAGGATTTCCGCAGCTTTTCATCCAAACTCAGAGATGTTTGGGAAAATGGATGCACCAGGATGTTTCTGATAACATTGCATTATATAATAATTTTAATAAATGGGCCTAACCTAGATATCCATCAACAGGAGAGTGATTAAGCTGACCCTCAGGACCCTGTGCAGTCAGCCAGAATGAAATAAATCTGTAGGTCCTCTATATGGAAAAAGGGTATTCATGTAGAATCCATCCCCATCGAAGACCCTATGGACTGCTCTACCATTGCCAAGCCAAATCATTTGCCCCCAGAGACCAACCTTCTGGTAGAACCACCACACCCCCAGAATGGGCCCCTTTTCCTATTTCATTTTATAATGTATAGAGTAGCTACTGTTTGCCAGGCACTGGGTTGATCCCTTTTCTGCTTTAATTCTTCTATCATCCCTATTTCTCATAGAATAGAGCTAAAACTCTTGATTTGTCCAACAAAAGGCTGCGTATCTGGCCTCTGCCTTCCCTTCCAGCTTTGTTTCTCTTCACACTGCTCTCCAGATACACTGGATTTCTCCCAGAGCTCTCTCCTGCCTCAGGACCTTTGTTCACACTTTTCCTAGATTTGGAACCTCACTGTCTTCCTACCCACCCAGCACCCCATGCACCCAACATAAAATCCTGTCATTGAAGCCTCAGCGTAAGGATCCATTTCTTCCATAAGCCACCACTAGGTGAACCAAATACTCCCAGAATATAAATCACTAGCAATTACTTAATGTTTGTGTTGCCCACTAGCCAGTAAATTCAATGAGGTTAAAGCTATGTCATGTTTTCCTTTCTATCACCAGCCCGGCTCAACCACAAAGCAGGCGCTCAAAAGATATTTCCCAATTATTGACTAGAGCCCAAACATCATCCCTCCCTCCAGAATGCAAGGCCGGGGCCTCCATGCTTTGCCTTTTGACACCTAGATAAATCAAAACAATTCATACTACCCTTTCTGACAGAGAAGACAGCGGGTTCATCAAAGAGAGACACAAGACATTAGCATCCAGCAGACCAAGAATATGGTGTGAAAAGCCTTCTTACCCCAGCTCTGTCCCAGCAGGTCCTAGCTGGGCATCTGCAGGAGGGCGAGGGCTGTGGCTCTTTGCTGCTTCCTCCCTCAAGCACGGAGCCCCTGGGCCAGCCTTGTTTGGTCAGGGCTTGTGAGTGGCAGGCCCAGGACCAGCTCAGGCTTGGGGATTCCTCAGGTGGCTTCCCTGAGGCCAAGAGCCCCTCCCAGTACTCCTCCCTGGGTGCCTGCAGAGCCTAGAGGCAGCTCTGTTGCATCAACACCCGCCTGTGGGTGAAGACAAACCTGCCTCACCGGCCAGCCCTGCTCAAACTCCCTCCCTCCCCCAGCCACCTGTGCCCAGGGCCACGACCTTGGGGCCCCACCAGGAAGCAGTAACTTTGTTCTCTAAGGAAAGTACCTTACCCCACAGCGTTCAGAAGTTTTGGGAGACGTTTCTAGAGGCCTTGGAGGGTCCCAGACACGAACTCCCAGGGTGTCTACGAAGCACACCAAACACTCCTTGTCACTGTAAAAACGGAATCGTTTTAGAAATGACTTAAGTATCGTGCCCACCATCCTAAAACCAACTATCTTCAAAAACACTTTACTTTCAAAAGAGGAGATGCAGATAAGTACTCAGTGGCTAAAGGTCAACTTCCAACATGGCCCAGGTTGGCCCTGGAGATACAGGGCCAGACGTGAGTATTTCCCCTTTGCCTTGAGAACGGCCGCCTTCCCCATTTATTTGGTGGAGGGGTAAGGAGCAGAGGAGTGTCTCCTGGTTCAGGCGTTACTCTGCTGTGGCACCTTCGTTCCCGTTAATTAGCTTGGCAGCGCAGCTTTCCCTATGTGAAGGCAGATCCCCACATGTACCCACCTGAGGTGCCCGGGAGATGTACCTTCTAGAAAGAAAAGGATGCTTCTCTTTGATTTTACTTTTTATTATGGAAAAATTAAAGCACCTGCAAAAGTGCAGAGGACAAATATAAGGAACCCCTGTAAACAGGCCACTGAGCATCACCTGCTGCATTTCGCATCATCAGTACCCTCACCTGCCTCTCCTACCCACCGCACACTATTTTGAAGCTAATCCTACACCTATTATATCTTTCAAAATATTTCAGTATATCTAAAAGATAATCATATATATGTGTGTAAAATATACACACATGTGATACCATTGTCACACCTAAAATGCAACAGTAATTCCTTAATATCAAATATCCCATCAGTGTTAAATTTCCCACGTTGTCTGCAGGCTGTCTTTTGAATAAGCCCCTCAGGTAGTTCCTGTGCATCATCAAACTAGAACTATTGTTGTTGAGAACACCGTGAAAAATCTAACTTTACCTAGGGAGGCAGCAGGGTGAAGGCAGCCGGAGCAGATGAGCCGAGCAGATGCTGCTTGAACCCAAGGCAGTGGAAGCAGCTGGCCTGTAACTGGGCCTGTAGGAAGGATCATGCTTGGGTTCCTTAAGCACCAGAGCCTGGCCGCAGCCCCCCATCCCAAAAGCGCAGAATCAATGAAGTCCAGACTCACCTGGGCAAAGTTCTGAAGCCTGAACTTAGGAGCTACAGAGCAGAGCTGAAGGATTCAGAGTGAAAACTGCAAAGAGAATGACCAATGTGGATTCTGCTTCTCTAGCCAGATGAACGCGAGGCCAGGGGAGCCCCTGCCCCAACACGGGCCTCCCCTCTCCTGCTCCTCTCCCTGCCCACCTCTCATTCTACTCTTCATCCCCGCCCAGATTTGCTGTGTCTCACCGTCAGTGGGTGGTGTGGCCTTCCTCGCATGTTCCAGGCCCAGGAGTCACTGAGGGGCAGATAGAGGAATAGCACATCTTGATGGTTAAGAGCAGAGTGTAGACCCAAACTGCCTGAGCCAGGATCCCAGTTCTCATTTACCACGTGTGACCCTGGGGAAGAGATTTAAGTCAGGCTCCCAGGGCCCTCCTCTGCAAAGTATAATAGAATATTAGCGACACCCAGGTGGCTCAGTCGGTTAAGCATCTGTCTTCAGCTCAGAGGTCCTGGGATGGAGGTCCTGGGATGCTTCTCCCTCTCCCTCTGCCACTCCCCACCCCCTACCACTTGTGCTGCCTCTCTAGCTCTGTTCTCTCTCAAATAAATAAAATATTTAAAAATATATATTATATAATTATTTTGAATGTAGAAGTATAGGAGGGAGAATGTCTTTCAAGGCTTGCTTTTTTTTTTTTCCCCTCCTCAAGCCCTGAGTGGCAGGTGCAGACAGGCAGCATGCCCATGGAACACGTGCAAGGCAATAAATTAGTGCAATCTGTCTGAAAGGCCATTTGCATATCCTTTGACCCTGTAATCCCACTTTAGGAAACTGAGCTAAAACTAAACACCCTGAACATTATGCAGACAACAAATATTGGAAGACTCTGCAAGGAAGAGAGAAGAAGACAGGCCCTCTAGGAATCTCAGAGTCTAAGGAAAGACAGAGGTGAATTTTCTGGGGTTTCTTTTGCTTACTATATTCTAGGCTTAGTGCTACAGAAGCCAGCAAGATAGGCAGATAGAAAAAAATCCCAAGGGGATCCCTGGGTGGCACAGTGGTTTGGCGCCTGCCTTTGGCCCAGGGCACGATCCTGGAGACCCGGGATCGAATCCCACGTCGGGCTCCCAGTGCATGGAGCCTGCTTCTCCCTCTGCCTGTGTCTCTGCCTCTCTCTCTCTCTCTCTCTCTCTCTCTCTGTGTGACTATCATAAATAAAGAAAGAAAAAAAATATTTAAAAAAAAAAGAAAAAAATCCCAAATAAATTCTGTTCTCTCTAGCCAAGGGATCAGGGAAGGGGCAGGCTAGCAAGAAAGAAGACTTTCAGGTAATAATCACTCTAATCCAGCCAAACACCACAGAAAAAAACTGTGATCCCATGACCACTCATGCCAGCAAAGCCCAAGTGGAAAGTCTAGACTTCTACCCTCACCCAGATGTACCAAAGCAACACTCCCTGGTAACATGTCAAAGTGCGGAGTCTGAAATCCCAGCCCCACACATGATACCAAAGCACCTCTTGTTAGCCTCATTAGATCAGAAGAGATCTAATGAGAACGTTCCTGAATGTCCATTGATAATGAGGCCACCCCCTCACTGGGCGTGGAGGTCGTGTGGAGTAACCAGGCACTCCTCTTCTCCCAGACGGGGTCATATCAGCAGAAGTCTAATGAATAGAAGAATCAAGGAGGAGAAACCACTCTTAGCTGATTTCAAGACTTACCAGACAGCTGCAGTAATCAAGAGTGTGGCACTGGTGGAAACATAGGCACATAGGTGAATGAAAGAAAATAGAGAACTTTTGTCAACAAATACAAATTAAAACCATGATGAGATAGCAGTATATATCTATTAGAACAACTCAAATAATAGTGACAATTCCAAACACTGGCAAAAATGTGGAAAAACTGGATCTGTCATGCACTGCTGGTGGAAATGTAAAATGGTACACTCTGGAAAACAGTTTGGCAGTTTTTTAAAAGGCTAAATATGCATTCTCCTTAGGGCCCAGCAATCACACTCACGCCATTTACCCCAGAGAAATGGGAACTTCTGTTCACAAAAAAAAAAAAAAAAAAATCTGTATGTCAACCATAGCAGCTTTATTTGTAACAGCCCAAAACTGGGAACGACCCACATTTCTTACTTATGGTACATCCATACCTTAGAATATTACTCAGCTCTGAAAGCAATAAACTACTGATAAACACAACTTGGATAGATCTCAAGGTGATCACACTGAAGGAAGAAAAACCAATCTGAAAAAGTCACGCACTGTATGATTCCAGTTATAACATTTTCTACATGACAAAATTTATAGGGATGGAGAACAAATTAGTGGTTGTTAGGGATAAGAAGTAGTGGTGATGGTGGTGCTGGTGGTCTGTGCGGATATGCCTATGAAGGGGTAACATGAGGGAAATCTTTCACAACAAACAATAGTTCTTTATCTTGACTGCGGTGCTGGTTTATATGAATCTATGCATGTGATAGAAATGACGTAGAAGGGGATCCCTGGGTGGCTCAGCAGTTTAGCGCCTGCCTTTGGTCCAGGGCGCGATCCTAGAGTACCAGGATCGAGTCCCACATCAGGCTCCTGGCATGGAGCCTGCTTCTCTCTCTGCCTGTGTCTCTGCCTCTCTCTCTCTCTCTCTCTCTCTCTATCATGAACAAATAAATAAAATCTTTAAAAAACTTAAAAAAAAAGAAATGATGTAGAACCATATACAAGCTTTCTATCATTGTCCATTTCTCCATTGGTTACAAGGGGTCTGAGGGATATATGTATCTGGAGATGTGTGTTCTAAATAAAACTAGCCCAAGAGATTTGAGTGGCCCCAGGGGGAAGACAATTCCCCAACCTGAGACTCCGTTCCTTCACAGCAAAATGAAGATACTGAGACAGATTGGTGGTTTTCTTTCTTTCTTTTTTTTTTTTTTTTATTTACGATAGTCATACAGAGAGAGAGAGAGAGAGGCAGAGACACAGGCAGAGGGAGAAGCAGGTTCCATGCACCGGGAGCCTGACGTGGGATTCGATCCCGGGTCTCCAGGATCGCGCCCTGGGCCAAAGGCAGGCGCCAAACCGCTGCGCCACCCAGGGATCCCAGATTGGTGGTTTTCAAACTGGTGCCCAGAACCCTGGAGATTTTGCAGAACCCTTTTCAGGAGCCACTTTGAAGAAGATGGAAAGGATCAAGGTGGTTAAACTATGACACATATGTAACAGAACACAGGGCAGCTATGAAAATGGCGTGAAAGGCATTCTACTGACAAGGAGTTATGTCCTTGGTACATTGTTGATTTTTAAAAAGAATTTTATGAAACGGTATATACGGTATCACTGATTTTTTTCAACAAGTGTGATCCACATAGAAAGATGTAGAAGGAATTATACTGAAACCCACGATGGGTAGGGTTTGGATTTGGATTTATGTACTTTGTCCTTGTCTTTATTCTCTGATATTTCTGTAACAAACACATAAGGCTCTTGAGATACGTCTTAAACCTTGGGGCCAGATGGCTTTTGGATTTCAGAATGTTCTCTACTCAGAAAGTTAAGCTAGGTATATACTATATTTCATATAACATCCCATGGGCCCTGGCAGCAGCACCCTGTAATCAAAACATGTTAATCCCTTTGTACTTCAATATTTACATTCTCACTATGAAAGATCAATAGAAATGATACATGCGTCATGTTAAATCAGGTGAGATTGTGCTGCCAAGGCCATAAAAACTGGTTTTGTTTTCAGAGCTTTATGGATTTCTGGATTGCAGATTATGGTCCATAAAGACAAAAACAATACAGGAAATTCCTTTGGGGGTGGGAACTCTAAGACCTTAGTGATACAATGTTACAAAATAAAATGGCAACTTGAGGGGCCATCATATTCACAACTGTGTAAGTAGTAAAATGGATGTGGAAACTGACCAGACAGGAGAAGAGACAGAAGGTAAGAGCTGTGCAAGGGTAAGGATAGAAATAGGGCGGATTTCACTTCCATTGAGCATTACCGGTACTATGCCAATCACAATGCTAAGCATCTACAGAAACTTCCAGAAGCAAGTCTTGATGTGGCCACCTACTCATTCAGTGGTTATTTACAGAGCACCTACAATGTATCAGGCTCTGTCTTAGACTCTGCAGACACAGCAGGAAACACAACCAAGTCACTGCTTTCATGGAGCTTATGTTTTAGTGGAGGTGGGAGAGACCAAAGATAAATAAGTGTATGAGCCAATAGATACTATCTAAGGCGGATACATCAAGAACAGCATTGGGAGCATATCATTTGGAGATTTTGAAAGTAAAAGTAACCACAAGAGAAAATTGATCAAAAGTAGTTCTTAGGGAACAAAACCATAGATGGAGCAGACCAGGAGACTTTAGTATTGTTTTTATAAACCCTTTGCACCACTTGATTTTTTTAAATTTGACAAACTTGAAGAAAATCAAGCATTTCATCAAAACCAAAATTTCACAGACAATAAAAGAAAACCATCTTAAAAATATTGATTGAGGGATCCCTGGGTGGCGCAGCGGTTTGGCGCCTGCCTTTGGCCCAGGGCGTGATCTGGAGACTCCAGATCGAATCCCACGTCAGGCTCCCGGTGCATGGAGCCTGCTTCTCCCTCTGCCTGTGTGCCTGTGTCTCTGCCTCTCTCTCTCTCTCTCTCTGTGTGTGTGTGTGTGTGTGTGAGACTATCATAAAATAAATAAAAATTAAAAAAAAATATTGATTGAGCAACTATGATGCACCAGGCAAGACATTAGGAGATTCTGGGTACAACATGGACAAAATAGTTCTTGTTCTGGAGACGTCTAGCAGGGCAGTCAAATATAATAATCCTCGTATTGACAGCTAATATACAGATGATGCTTACAATGGGCTAATTTAAGACAAAACCCTAAGAAATAGGTAGTATTATTAAAATCCTCATTGTTATTGTTTGCCTGGTTTACAGATCAGGAATCTGAGACAGGTGACACATTCACGGTCACTCAGCTAGTAGGTGGTAAACTGGAGACTTGAGGGGATCTCTGGGTGGCTCAGTGGTTTAGTGCCTGCCTTCAGGCCAGGGCGTGATCCCGGAGTCCCACATCAGGCTCCCTGCATGGAGCCTGCTTCTCTCTCTCTGCCTGTGTCTCTGCCTCTCTCTCTCTCTCTCTCTCTCATGAATAAATAAAATCTTTAAAAAATAAAATAAACTGGAGACTTGAACCCAAGGAGTGTGGCTCTAGAGCTGAGAGTCTCCAGTCTCAGTAATCAAATTCTTAAATAACCACAGAGACAAATGTATAATAACTGAGATGGGTACAGGGAATAAGAGAGCACCCCGGTTGAGCGTCTGCCTTTGACTCAGGTCGTGATCCCAGGGCCCAGGGATCG